ATCTATTGTGCTCGCCCTTATTCAAAGTTCGCTACCTAGATCCGTAAGGGACAAAAATTGAAGGATATTCTTAGGAGCGATGGTTTTTATCTCCTCGGGAAAGAGTGTATACTTTCCAAAGGAGATATTTCGTTTATGCATGAGAGGCCTGTCACATAGGATGTGCAGTGGCGTTTCCTCTTCTGCTTGGCAAAATCTTCAGATTGATGTTGAACTAAGGTCTAATTTCGCCATGAGCTGATATAAGGCGTTTTGTACAGTCATAAGATTGCTTTATATAGCATTTCTATTATATCTTCGGTGAATAATACTCTATGGCCATAGGAATTTTACCTCAGATGCAAAATTGAAAGAAATAAAAAAAAACATTCGAGATTACACGCTAAAACCATTTTGATAGCTATCTAAAATTTAATGGTTTTACAATAAACTATTGTAAACAAGCATATCTCTATGGACGCAAAGAATTCCAAGTATTATAATCTATTTCGAGGTGTTAACGCATAATCTATGGTTCGATACTTTATTAAACAGGAATACCTGGGGAACGCAAATAAACATGAAAAAAAACTTTTTGTCTATGAATAAGGATCGTGATTCATTATGGTTTTAAATGTAAGAATAAATCATTGCAAATTAAAAATATTTTTACACGTAGGTAGAAAATTGTAGTGCTATTTAAAGATATTGATGGTAATCTACGACCTAGTTCGGAATGTAGTTCCGTACGTGAACCATAAACAAACAAACGAATATTATAGATGAAATAAAAACACAAATGCTTAGAATAGTAGAGAAATATTTTCAGAATTCGGGATTACTACACCGTTATAGATTCCGTATGTAACTACGACTACAAGAGTAGAATATGAATCTGTTTACAATGAAAATAAACTTAACAATTAATTGTTGTAATTTTTATTATCAGATTATAATTTCTAGAAAATAAAATGATTGAAAAATGTTGCCAATATTTTTTTATTCGGTTTATTCTTTAACGGAAAGGCAAAGGGAACTGCGCCGATACAGCCATGTCTGTATATTTTTGATATTTTTAATTTTTTAAAATTATTTTGTCTTCAATTGATGAGATAATGTAGTCGTACAGTACAAAAAATGTTATTGAGTTTCTTAATATTTCATGAAGAGAACGCGGGTCGTACGTGTAAATAAAACATTACTGCTAAAAAATATTCATATTACAATTGACATTGGATTTACTTTCTTTTGTTTTTTTTACGAAATTTACGCGAACGAAGGAGATATTTCGTACACTTATGGTTTCTATAGAGTATGAGTACAAAATGCAATTTTTTTTTATTTATTAGGACTAACAAACAGTAATACAATATATTGTGTATGTACAATATGTGATAAGGTTAAATATTTTTAAATGTATTAACAACGACGTTAATCATAGTTTACTAAGGAAATTTATAAAGATTGTTGACAATAGAAACTTAGTCTTTTCGTTCGAACTTTGACCATTCGGCGACCACTAGTAATAATACGACACAACCAGCTTCTAATGTTTTAACCCGCGCCGGCATTACAGTTCTCGTTTGATGTTAGCATTGTTGACATATCTACAAGTTCATTTTTCTCGTTCACACCTCCAAAGTCACTGTCCTGTTTGTTTATCTGTACGTTTTACCAATCTTCCTTTTCTTTTACGGTTATAATTTTTGTTGTCACTGGAATGGTAAAGCTTGCTTATGTTAGTTTTTTTTTTATTAGGGGTTTTGGGCTATTGTCTAGTATTAAGATCGATATATCTATACTGCGACCTGCATAGATCTGTTGTGCTCGCCCTTTTTCAAAGTTCGCTACCTAGTGAAGGACAATAATTGAAGGATATTCTTAGGAGCGATGGATTTTATCTCCTCAGAATAGAGTGTCCTTTCCAAAGGATATATATTTCTTTTTGCCTCGCACAACCACATTGTGGAATCACCTTCCAGCAATTTCCGAACCGATACGATATTGAAACTTTCAAGAAAAGAGCTTATTCCTTTTACCCTGGTGTTGCGGGTGCTCATGGGCGGCGGTAATCATTTACCATCAGGTGAGCCGCATGCTCGTTTGTCCCCTGTGTTATAAAAATATATATATATATTTCGTTTATGCATGAGTGGGCTACAACCACATAGGATGTGTAGTGGCGTTTCCTCTTCAGCTTGGCAGAATGTGGAAATTATTGAAGGGGAATAGAATAGAATAGAATAGAATAGAACTACTATGTTAGGTCGACCTCCACACGGTCCTCCTTAGAAAGCATCGTTGGTAATTCACGAATAGATTTAACATCACGTGCTCGTCTTCATGTGTATCATACTCCATTGGTGCCTCGCGTGTACTCATTCATAAAAAAATCATTCAAGAACTGATATAAAAATAAAATTTTCAAAGTGCCACTTTTGTGGGAGAGGGGAGTTGTTAGTATAAATAGTAGTTCTATTGCATGCAATGGAAATATGTAGTTTTTTTTATGGATGATATTGCAATGGCGCCTGCGCTAACAGTTGCGCTGGCGGGGCACTAGTGGAGGATGATAATATGAGCACAAGGTCAGGTCTGATCCCTTTATACTACAATTACAAAGAGCACTCTTTTTTTTTGTATTTTGTAAGTAGAAATCTAAACTCCGAACATACCGTACCAATTCAAGAAATTCTTTGATGGAATGGATGGAATGAACTAGTGGTCCAATCTCTAGCAATCTACTATATTAGGTCGACCTACACACACGACACACGGTCCTCATAGGAAGTATTGTTGGTAATTCACGAATAGATTTGACATCACGTGCTCATCTTCATGCGTATCATACTCCATTGGTGCCTCGCTTGTACCCTTAGGGCAGGTGTGTGTGTATATTCCATTATCATTCATAAAAAAATCATTCAAAAACTCATAAAAAAATCAAAGTTCCTATCTGTGCCACTTTTATGGAAGAGGGGAGTTGTCAGTGTAAAGAGTAGTCGAGTTTTATATGCAATGGGATATGTAGTTTTTTTTATGGATGATATTGCTAACAGTTTGCGCTGGCGGGGCACTAGTGGAGGATGATAATATGAGCACAAGGTCAGGTCTGATCCCTTTATACTACAATTACAAAGAGCACTCTCTTTTTTTTTGTATTTTGTAATTAGAAATCTAAACTCCGAACATGCCGTACGAATTTAAGAAATTCTTTTACAAATAAATAACAAATATTGTGCAAAATAGAGGTAACAATTGGCGGCCTTATTGCTAAATAGCGCTCTCTTCCAGACAACCTAAGATGGATAGGTAATGTAATTTAATCAAATTTGCTTGTATTTGGTTATAGGGTGCAATTAGGCAGTGAAATTACAAGATAAAAGGACCTCGGGAATGGCAACCCACGGTAAATATTACGGGTGTCAAATGATAACCTGATATCCATAATGCCTTTTTTATATAGGCGATCGTTATCGCTTACCATCAGATGGGCCGGTTTTTAATAGGCTGGTTTTTTAGTTCAATTAAAAATAAAAAAAAAACCATGAACAATTAACACAGCGCCATCTAGTTCCACGGTTAGCAGAGCTTGTGTTATGGCCACTAGACAACTGATCAGAATGTTTAGCTTTTGTTTTTGTACATACATAATATACATACAAAACACCCAGACCGATACAAACAATCATACTCATGAATACAAATGCTTGCACTGTGCGAGGAATCGAACCCCCGAACATCGGAAGTACAGCGGTGTGCTAAACCACTAGACCACCGAGACCGTCTATATTAAAGTAAATAATAGTATTTTAGCTATCTATTGTGCTAAATAGCTAAATTGGTTACATACATCGTATATCAGTTAAAAAATTATATATTACTTAAACAATATAAATGTTTCACCTATCAATTTAATCTGTTTAATTTCCCCACGCGTAGTGTTTACTCTTTGTTTATTTCGTATATATCTAACACGCCAGAGATCTAAAATTATTACCGTTATTATAGCATTAAATACATACTATAATCTGTGCATGTACCATCATGACAAGCACCTTACAGGGTAAGCAGAGTACAGTATTTTTTGTATATAATATAACTGATGCCACTCTTGATATGTTCACTATATTACTCATCTCATGCCATGGAGACAAGGCTGATTCATGCAAAATATATACTGAATTTAAAATGAACTTATCTAAAGTTAGAGTTTTTTTTAAGATGAAATGATGCACCCGCGTGGTAACGATGGAGTACTGGAGTAGGCTGGCATGGCATCAGTGCATGATTATAGACTGCGCATGATACTAGGTCAATTGGCTCACAGTGAGAAATTCGCCAGGAAATTGTCACTATGGTCTCCAGGCGGCACTTGAAGGTCAGTCTGACATGGCATTTTGGCTAGCAATGAGAAAACTAGGCCTTATTTCTAACAATATTATGATTTAATTTTATACTGAGAAAAAATTATATCGACAGTCTTAATGAGGACTGTCGGTATAATTTTCAGTATACATTACTTTTAGTTTTGATGCTCCAAAAAAAAATATTTAGTAGGGTGTTTGAAAAATTGTTTAAAATTTGCCACATTTTATGGACTATAGTGACATCTGTTGTGTTGCTTAAACAAACATTCCTAAATTGGTAGTGACGTGTCTTCCCTTCACTTTTGTTGACATGAATAATATTTTACTGCTCCTGTAGTGCCATCTATTTGATTTTGTTCACATACTTATCACTATGGTATGTTTATTTGCCTTTATTTTACTACAGATGGCACCGCATACATACTCATGATATGAAATTATTTCAAAATTCTATTACAATAAATGTAAATTTAAATTAAAAATTATACTTAAATATATAAAATAATCGCAATTTGTATTTTGTGCATATAGAAACAGTTTTATGTGTGTTTTTAAGAAAAAAATCTCATAGTTATGGCTGTATGACACATGCATTTGTTCCTCATGGTACACAGATTTCTAAAAATTAAAAAGTACAATAAAAAAGTGAAGTTGCAAGAAATGGCGTCTCAAGTTGTTTTTTATTAGAGTTCAATGTGTTTCTAATTGTTTCATGTATTTGATAGATTTAATTTCTCTCATATTATATAATTAGTAAGTGCTATTGATGTTTCATTGACGAATTACATTTACTTAGTCGGGTTTCGGTGATTTGGCTTTGAAACAATGGCGTCCAAAGAGCCCATACAATCCAACGTAAAAGTAGTAGAGAATCATGAATACGTCGAAGATTACTCCATTTCCTTGAGTGAAGCTGACGCCGGTGAGGGTATTAAGCGTCGCAGAGTGACTCATGACTACAGAAAACTTTCGAAATTGGGATACGATCCAAGTATGTCAACCGATGCGAAATTGCTGCAGTCCTGCGATGGTAAAGGTATAAAACCACATTATATTTACTCTCTAACCTCTTCTATATTGGTAAATTGTATAATAACTCCTGCCACCAAGAATTAACTGTGTAGATTTTTGGTGGGAAAACTGGTAACCTATTAATTTGCCAGTTACATCATTAAAATGGAGGTCATAACTGTTTATAAACATTTGCTGTGCATTTAGAGTGTAATAATGCTCATAATATGTTATCTATATCATTATATTTCATATTTTATACAAAATTTGCACTATACAAATAAACTATAATGCAGATCTTATTGATTGCATCATTGGATGACCTTGCCTCAGCATGATCATGACTTTCTATTAGTTTTAATGTACTTTAATGTCAATATATACAATATTATAAGTAATTACATTTATATAAACCTCAAACAAACTCTGAGCTCACATAAACATCATTGGTTGGCATCACAAGTCTTTAATACCTATGAAAAAGCTGACTGAAATGAGAGAAAGTCCTATTTCATTGTGTTTTCAACATTCATTTTACTTCATAAAGAATTTTTGAGGAAGGTCTTTCAAAAAGGTTTTTGCATATTTCAGTTTTTGCTACAAAACTTAAAATGTAATATCACAAAAATTTATTAAAATTTTTCTTATTTTTAATATATTAAAAATGGAATAATGTCCTTGGTTCTCTACTGTAAATCTTTGGGGTTTTTTTAATTGATGTCATTTATTTTTATTTTTATTTATTTTTGTAAGAATATTGTCAAGGTTGTTGTCTAAATATTAGTTCAATAAACATTATTATTATTATATTTAGTTTTTCATAGTAACTATATTATCAATATTAATATTATAAATACTAAAATGTCTATATGTCTCTATGTTACCTTTTCGCTGAATAGTTTTACAGAACATATGATAATTGGATATGAAGATTGATATTACTATTAGAATGGATATTGGCTGTTTTTTGGCTCAAAAAGTATGGATGAAGTAGCAAAAATCTTTTTAGGGTTTTTAAGTATACACTATCCTGAGGAGATAAAAACTATTGCTCCTAAGAAAATCCTTCAATTCTTATCCCTCGCTGGTCTAAATAGTGGGTATCTATGCAGGTCTCAGTGTTACAGGCCTTAGTACCTGACAATAGCCTAAAACCACAATAAAAACAAAAAGGGGTTTTTGGGGTTGTTAGTAAGTAAACTCTAAGCTTAATACAACAAAACTTTTGTAACAATCTTTTTAAACTTACATTTTTAATATATTTTTATTTGTATTGTTCAAATTGTAACTATAAGGCAAGGGTGAAGGTCAAAGATGAAGTTGAAATAACAGCAGATAGACAGATAAGAATATGTTTTTCATAGAAGAAAAGAATAATTGTGAAGTATGAAATAGTATAATTTCAAATTTTATTATAAAGTAATTGATTATTTAAAATTATAATACATGTTGTAAAGATAATACAGTGGACCACTGGTTATCCGACAAATGTTTTGCTGGGCAGTGTCCGGCCATCAAATTTGTCGGATTACAGAGTACTGGCTAAGGGGGTCCCCTATAGTCTGGTTTTTTTTATAGAAGAGTACCTTGTAATCTGACAAATTACACATACAGTGATAAGATTCTGTTACATATGTATGTATATGCACTCGTGTTGCGGGTAAATAATAAGATGTTGTTGGTCTAGACGATGTATATTACATATGATGATAAACTGACAATGTGTACATAGAAATAATGATCTTATATACTAAATAACAATAGGAAAATGTAAGGTGGGGTGACACAGTTTAGACACAGCAGTGCTTAGTAGACAATATTAAATTTGTCTTACTAGACATTATTAAATGCAATTATTATTTTGAGGTATCTAGGTGACTGTGTCCCATATATATTCACTCGAAAGTACAAATCATACTTCATTATATATGTCAACTACTAAAAAATTCCTTACAATTTAGGTGGTCTAAAATATCACATTTTTCTTTTATAATCAGTGTTTTGTTCTTACACTTCTGAGCTGATACATAATACACAATGAATAAACAGTAAAAACACATGTTATAGGGCACCGTTATCTTCACCAAACTTGTTCAAACTTGTTCAATCATGCATTAGTGAAGATTGTCAAAAAAATATTCAATAATAAATAATAGACCATGTCCAATTACAAGGGCGGGGGGGATAAGCCAGGGGCTGGATTACCACAGGTCCACTGTAATATGATATAAGAATATACATTTCAATATAGATTTTCAATACTTGACAATGATAATATTATAAATAAGTGTTGTTATGTATGATTTCTAACATAAAATAAAATAGTATTTCTCTATGATTTCATTAATTATCCTCCTTACTATTCTTCTCAAATGAATCAGTATACTGAACTGGATGGTATGGAAAAATATTAATACAAAAAACTTGATGTTCATTAGCGGCTAAAATGTTCTACTTGAATAAATCATTTTATTTGATTTGATTTACTTCAATCTACAGAAAACTGATTGCAGAATAATTTATTTTAATTTAATAACTAGTGATCACCCTTTCTTTGGATACTTAAGACTACATTTTAAATGTGATCTCTAGCATTGTTTTGGTGACTGCATACACTTTCCACCAGTAAATATACTGTACAAGTACATACAGACTGTAATAATGTAAATTTTATTTCGAGCAAATTCTAAAACTTTTGTCATGGCTTCTGCTGCTTTAATAAAGATCCATTTTTTTTTTAATATCATTTAAAGAGCAGGCAGACATGAGCCTTTACAAATTTATTATATGTATCGATAAATAAGGACCACATATGGACAATACATATATTTCTTGGTCCTTAAGTTGGCACTTACCAGTTAGTGTTTTGAAATTTTTAATACTATCTATTTATCAGGTTATTTTAATTGTAGATATGGCTATTCTAGCTTGTGAATTTCTAAGATAAAAAAATACATATATATAATAATATAATAATAAAACTGAAAAAAAATTAATTCAAATGTTACACAATTTTGGATAAAGGTATTGAAACCAGCTGGAATATGCATGAAACTGGATCATTTTCACCAAGAAATAAAGTAGAAGTTTAAAAACATATTTTGAATTTAGTATGTAAACTAAATTTATTATTTAAGCCTGTAAGCATGGTCTTATCAGTCTCAAGAGCTATATCAATGTACCTATATTAATCTTTATTATTCAAGTAGTATTAATAATTTAATAATATATAATAACACATTATTTGTAATGTATTTATGTACTAGCGACCCGCTCTGTGCAATGGTGATCTAAATATACCTATTTACTACAGAATATATATACAGCTTATAAACAACATTTACAGCTTGTCTGTTATAAGACAGTACAAACATGTCGTCGGATAAATAGAAATATGGCAGTGTTCAAAATACATTTTTGTCTTACAAGACAGGACAAAAATGTATTTTGAACACTGCGGCAAGCATTTAAAGTTTTTAAATTTATTTAAATATTTTTCCCCTTAAAGTTTTAAATTTACACATTTATTATATAGCACTTTAATTTTTATTTATATAATGATTAAGACGGCGTGGTTAATTTAATTGACTCATATAAAAGGATGCAATTCTAGCTTCTAATTTTTCCATTTAATCGAAAAATTAGAAGCATTTTTCCATTTAATCGACGATGTTTTGTCGACGACGCGCGAGGGATAACTATGTCCCTGCGTTTTAAATCTGTAATATCTTCAGAAATATTTATATAACTTACAAGCTGTAATCCATATTGATCTATATTAAATGGACAATGTATGAGAGGTACTCCATTGAATAAAAATTAATGCTGTATTACTTAAAATCAGTTCGTAAATAAGTCATTTTTTTTCCGTAAAATATAAAGGTTAAAAAATGGTTATTGTAGGTTATCCTTAAGAGATATACATATACTATCGCGGACTTTTTAGTTGATCTTTTTAAGGTGTATAATACTGGAGTACATTATTTTGATTTATCTCGTGAGGTTCAGCCAGCGTTTGCAATGTAAGCGGAAAAAATATGTTTATTTACGACATCACATTAGAAATCTCTAAATTTATCAATGTTTCTCTACAATATTATGCATATATTTTTATATATATAAACCTTCCTCTTCAATCACTCTATCTATTAAAAGAAAACTGCTTCAAAATCCGTTGCGTAATTTTAATAAAAAGAACTGGCAAGAAACACAAACTGAGATAGGAAATGAAATATTCAGATTTTTCAGTGTTAAGATTAAACGCCTGTAAAACAGTATTATAGAATCTATAGATGATAGTTATAGTTAGATTATAAATATTCTATGAGATAGTTTAATATTAATAAATAAAGTAAAAACAAAAATACTATAATAAAAATTTCTTTTCCAGTTAAAAAGCGCAAGTACAGCGAGGACTCCAATGACTTATGTGTCTGGGGAGAGAGTCCTAAACCAGCTAAAATTAGCAAAATATGGCCAGTATTCGACTCTGGAGGGTACGGAGATGCAACCATGTTGACTCTTCATGTGATGAAGAGGATTCCTGCAGAGCAAAATCCATTACTCTGCAATACAGCAGAATCTGTCATAAGTCTACAAGAACCGTTGACTACAAATTGGTTTGGTGGTATTAATGTATCCTGGAGGCAAGCCCAATTAGCTCACAATGTTCCTTACGATGATGTGACTAAACGGATCTTCTCATCAGTGTCTCGTCAGCTGAAAATCATAAATACACATCTCCAAAGGTCTATGTTCAGATATAAGTATCCGAGAGTGACAAGATCGAATGTTCTTCTAGAAAGTTCCAACAATCGTCGCCCGGCAACACATTTCAGCATGTCATTAAGGGCTATACGGTTCCAGTCGACGCCCAGGCGGGAGTTGCCTTGCTATGGTAACTTGGAGTTGCCATTGAAGATCAAACAAGAACCAACAAATCAAATGTTCCCAAGTATTGTTAGTGTAAATACAGACATTGATAAGGTGAAAGATGGTAGTAAAGTGGAAAGTGATAAAGTGAAAGTGGAAAGGGACAGAGAACGGGACAAAGTCAAGGATAAAGACAAGGAGAGAGACAGGGATAGGTGAGTGACACAGCTTATTACACTATCATATAGTATTAATGTATCTTAATTTGATTTTAATTGGAATGGTAACATAACAACCTCCCTGATGGTAAATGGCAACTGTTCCTCCATAAACAGGACCATGACAAAAGGCAAAACAGTGTAGCCTTGGCGAAATCTGTGATTATAGATGTCTTGTCTTTGATAATAGAACCCTAATAATGTTCAATGTTATAATTTTAAATAAATATGGTCTAATTTAGACCACACTGTAGTCTGTTTTATAATTTCAAAGACAAATTTGATATTACCGATGTTGCCAGCTTTTTACAATTTTTAAATTGAGTTGTGGCACTATCAGGATTTAATATTAATTACTCATTTTTATAGGTTACGCAGAAATAACGTGTGGATGTTTATTTAAAATACATTAACACAAAATTAATAAACTATAGACATTAATGAATAATAATGAATGGATTGTTGTATCCAAATAGTTTTTTTCAGTTGACATATATTTAACTAAAACAAAAACTAACTACCTTTTTTTTTATAAAACAAATGATCTTCTTATGGTGTCATATTTAATAAAACACACCCAGTTAAATATTTAGCTGGTTGAAAAAAATAAATTGTTGGTTGATAGATTGATACTGTAAAAATTACTATATGTACGGGAACCAAAAAGTATATTTTTTTATGTTGTATAATACAACGACATTAATGGACACTAGTATAAATATGTAAATGTTGTGGAAACTGCGTACCTATAAAGTAGTAAAAATAAAAAAACTAATATTATTTGAAAAATTGACATTTACACCTGTCAAATTCGTGTCCGTGATTAAAAACAGATTACAATTATTAATATTGGCCACTATATGTCCAATGTGGTATCCACCCATGCATAAACGAAATATCTCCATTGGAAAGTTTACATTATCCTGAGGAGATAAAAACAATCGCTCCTAAGAATATCCTTCGATTCTTCTGTCTGACGGGTCTAGGTAGTAAACTATGAAAAAAGGGCGGGCACAATAGATTTCTATAGGTCGTAGTGCTATAGGTCTAAGCACCAGACAATAGCCCAAATCCTGAATAAAAAAATTGTATGAACTTTAGCAAATTAAATATATATTCTAGGTCGTCACATTCGTCCCGGCATTCGTCGTGTCACCGCTGCAGGCGGCGGGCGCGCATCAAGCGATGCTCTATCGGCGTGCAGTGTCGCCGAGATCGCGCCGCCACCGTCGCCACGCCCACCACGCCCACCACGCCCGCCACACCCGCCACACCCGCGCCGCCACACGCCTGGGGCACGCTCACACTTGTCGAGAACCCCGACGTCAAAGGACTCAAATATCACAGGTATTATATTGTACAGTGTAAGTTAAAACTTATACTATGATGAATACTAATGATGGAAGGTGAATAAGTTTCCATACGCAACAAAATAGGAATTTAAAACGAACTTTTAAAAATTTCATACGAAGAGCGCGATTGTATTTTCAATTCAGATTTCCATTTTGCCTTTTTGTGAAAACAAACAATAACTATATTTTGTTTTAACTCCAAGGTTAATGCACGTAGAGAAGCATCCGAACGGAGGCGCCAGCGTGCTGTATCTTCACCAGCGAGACGTGGACATGCTCCCAGCTCCTCAGCAGGAGTCCCTCGCGAAAGAGTTCCTCAAGGTATATTCATCTCTTCTTTAGTACATTCTTTACAAAGTGTATAAATCTGCAATCAGTCTTCTGACTTAAAACTGATTATATATACATATACACCCGTGTTACGCACTGGTGTACATGTATCAGACATATAAACCTTCCTCTTGAATCAATCTATTTATTGCTAAAAACTGCATTAAAATCTGTTGCGTAGTTTAAAAGATCTAAGCGAACAAACAGCGGAAGCGACTTCATTTTATATTATGTAAAAATGGGAAATAGCCAATGGATCGTCGTAACGGTGCAATGTCACTTTCTTAACATCTGGCATAAATAAACTTCATTCAGTCTAATAAATAAATAATGAGTTGTTATAGTATGTGATGACATCGATGCTTAGTGGTTTATTGCCCCGCCTTACTTTCCGTGGATCGTGGGTTACTTTCCACGCACAATACAATCATTTGAAAACATTAATTTGATTTTATTTTTTTGTTGTATGTGTATGTACAAAAAAGTGATAAATATTTGTACCCGTTGTTTAGTACCCATAACCCTCTGCTTTGCTTGGGACTAGACGGTGCTGTGTGATTTAAAGCTAGAATTTTGCATGTTATATATATTGTTTTTTATTCTACCACTCATTCGGAATGCAGACGCATTACAAGAAAGCTAGAAACATGTCTTTATTCTATCACTCATTCGGAACGCAGACGCATCACACGGAAGCTAGAATCTTGCGTGTTAATTTTTTTTATTCTACCACTCATTCGGAACGCAGACGCATTACAAGGAAGCTAGAATCTTGCGTGTTCTTTTTATTTTATTCTACCACTCATTCGGAACGCAGACGTATTACAAGAAAGCTAGAATCTTGCGTGTTCTTTTTATTTTATTCTACCACTCATTCGGAACGCAGACGTATTACAAGAAAGCTAGAATCTTGCGTGTTCTTTTTTTTATTCTACCACTCATTCGGAACGCAGACGTATTACAAGAAAGCTAGAATCTTGCGTGTTCTTTTTTTTATTCTACCACTCACTCGGAACGCAGACTCATCACAAGAAAGCTAGAATCTTGCGTGTTCATTTTTTTTATTCTACCACTCATTCGGAACGCAGACGCATCAGACGGAAGCTAGAATCTTGCGTGTTCTTTTTTTTATTCTACCACTCATTCGGAACGCAGACGCATTACAAGAAAGCTAGAATCTTGCGTGTTCATTTTTTTTATTCTACCACTCATTCGGAACGCAGACGCATTACAAGAAAGCTAGAATCTTGCGTGTTCATTTTTTTTTTCTATTCTACCACTCATTGTTAACGCAGACGCATCACAAGAAAACTAGAATCTTCCGTGTTCTTTTTTTTTATTATATCACTCATTCGGAACACAGACTTATCACAAGAAGAAAGCAAGAATTTTTCGTATGGCCTTTTAAATAGTAATGTATTTTTTTAACTGGTATTTTCCGAACTTGCGTGTTGCGTCTTTTATATAATAATGTACTAAATAACTATTTTCTTTTTCAGCTGGTATTCTCAGAGGATAGCGAAGGATGGGCCCACTTCGTGTGTGGTATAGTGCGAGGAGCGGCAGCCAGGTTGCCTTGCCTGTTGCGGTATCTGTCCGATGAACATCCTAACCTCACTGTCAAAGCCGGAGTACTTGCCAGGGCGTCTGATATAGAGACTACCACCGTTAACAGATATTACCAGCAGGTAATTTTTTTTATAATATTCTTATACATACGCTGTACAAAATAAGATGAAGGTACGCTATTTAAAGCATTTTGCCAGTCCATGTTACATGTGTAGCCTGTGGGTGAACTATACGCCGATGGCGTAGTTCCCACAGATACAGCCTGCATATACAATCTATACATATAAATAAAATTGGAGTGTCTATTTGTAATATCGAAAAACCGTTTTTTACTACATGCCTATGAATATTAATACGGTACATATACCTAAATAACATTTTTTACAATTTTTGTCTGTCTGTATGTCTGTTTGTTCCGGCTAATCTCTGAAATGGTTGGACTGATTTTGACGGGGCTTTTATTGGCAGGTAGCTGATGTAATAAGGAGTAACTTAGGCTACTTTTATTTATAAAGTTATTAGGCTACTTTTAGTTATTGAAAAATAAAGTTATATTCCAAGCGGACGAAGTCGCGGGTACAGCTAGTAATAATAATATAATAATCTCAGAACAATTCACACAGCGCCATCTAGACCCAAGATAAGCTAACTAACGCTTGTGTTATAGTAGATAACTGATACAAATACATAGATATTTTTTTGTATCTAATAATATTCTTTCAAATGGTCTTTCTAACTGGGGACGGGGATTGTTAGTAATGTGTATTAATAACCCCATTGCTAGCAATGCATATCAGATTGACCTGAAATTTTTAATTTGGGTCTAGATGGCGCTGTGTGAATTGTTCTGAGATTATTATTATTAGCTCCATCAATTCTGAATTAATATTTTGATTCGATGATTATTTTGTTCGGTGAGTTTTTTTTAAATAAATTATTTGTGGTGTAACCAGGTGCAGCAGTCGTATGCTGCGGGCACGTTCCGGTGCGGTCCGCTGCACCAGATCTCGCTGGTGGGGACGGTCCACGAGGAGGTCGGCGGGTACTTCCCTGACATGCTGCAGATGTTGGCCAACTGCCCGTTCCTCAAAATGGTGAGTGATGCACTGTGCTCGGTAGACTTTATACTTATTATCTGTATTGTATTGTATTGTGATGACTGGCCAGTGTAATTGTGTATCTAATTTTTTCTTTTTGGTTGTTAATATTGCTGTGCCTGTCTGTGTATGTCTTTAACATAAATATTTTTTTTATCTCAATCTATAGCAAATTGGGCTATTATATCTATCTATTATCTATGTATGTCTGTATTTTTTACTACATGCATATGAATATAAATACGGGATATACACCAAAATAACATTTTTTACATATTTTGTCTGTCTGTTTATTCCGGCTAATCTCTGAAATGGCTGGGCCGATTTTGACAGGACTTTTATTGGCAGGTAGCTGATGTAGTAAGGAATAACTTAGGCTACTTTTATTTTAGAAAAATAAAGTTAAATCCACACGCACGAAGTTAGCTGAACACTAATCATCTGTTTAGCGAAGCGCGGAACGATCTTAGAGATTAGATTATCAGATTTGAACTCTCAGTAACTTAATTGAGCTTGACCGATCTAGACCAAAATTTCATCAAAGGTCGACCATCGAGCCTCCATCGTTTACCACTCAAAAAAAAAACACTCGCCCCCTATCGTCCGGTGAAGCTATAAAGGCCAGTTGCAGACAACAGTATTATAGTAGTTCGAAAAAAAACTCTACCCGCGACGATTTTTTTTTATTGGATTGTTTGGGCTATTGTCAGATACCTCAACACTGCGACCTACGTAGATCTATTGTGCTCGCCCTTTTTTAAAGTTCGCTACCTAGACCCGTAAGGGACAATAATTGAAGGATATTCTTAGGAGCGATGGCTTTTATCTCCTCGGGAAAGAGTGTAAACTTTCCAAGAGAGATATTTCGTTTATGCATGAGTGGGCTACAACCACATAGGATGTGTAGTGGCGTTTCCTCTTCAGTTTGACAGAATCTGCAGATTTTTGTCGTGCATAGGCCTAGGTAAGCCATATGATTGTTCAACTTGCAGTGTCCTGTGAGGGCCCTAGTCATCATGCATATGTTGTTTTTACTCAATAGCAACAGTCTATTGGAGTATTTGTTCGAGAAGCCCGATAGTAGGGCTTTTGAATGTGTCAATCCTGGCATTTCTTGCCAGTTATTTAGTGCTTCTCGTTTGGCTATTGATTTGAGATGTCCCAGCTTTAGGCAATGAGGCACACCACAGAAGGGTTCGGGACCCAGTTGGGCGGTTTTTGCTCCTTACCCGCGACGTTACTCTTACTACATCAGTCTTCGACTGATTGAATGTAAATTGATTATAATAGAATATGACAGAAATCTTAATATGTGGTGTTAATAACGAATAAATTTCTTACAGACAATGCCATGGGGCCCCATGTCAGCGGTCGAGATGGAGCCCCAAGAGTCGAATGATGGCCCCATACTGTGGATCAGGCCTGGTGAACAACTGGTGCCCACGGCAGAACTTGGCAAGAGTCCTATTAAGAAACGAAGGTATGTTCCGATTTTGGTGCTGTTTACACAATTGTACATATTGTGGTAAACATAACTTAAAATTGATTCCAATATTTATTTGAACAAAAATGTTGTATGGGTAGGAAGTGGTAGCTATATACATAGTTTTAAATATGTTTATTAGCTATCCAGTTCTTATGTTTGTGACTATATGTACAGGTACATAAAACGGCGTAGGTAGTCTAACGGGTTTTGTACACCGCTTTACTACGCTCAGCCGCTCCATAAGACCTTCCGCGTGTTTGGTGTACCATCTGCTCTCGTTCCCTATCGTCCGGTGACGCTGTAAAGGCCAGCAGCGGCCAACAGCATTAGAGTAGTCCGAAAAAAAAGAAAAACGGTACATAACCTCGCACTATGCATATATTTGCATGCGTGAATATATTTGTATGTATCTGGGTTTTTCTATGTATATTATATATATAGTTGTCTAAAACCCATAACACAACTCGGCTTATCTTGGGACTAGATGGCGTTGTGTAAATTGTCCACAGTTACTACTGTTATTTATTTATGTGTTTGTCTGTATGTCACAGGACGGGCATCAACGAGCTGCGCAATCTCCAGTACCTGCCGCGCTACAGCGAAGCGCGAGAGTTCCTCTTCGAGGATCGAACCCGCGCCCACGCGGACCACGTGGGCCACGGACTTGACAGGATTACCACCGCCGCTGTCGGTGAGTATTCATTTTCAAATTTATTAAAAATGTATGATAATGGAATGGTGCACCCGCATGCGTTAACGGTATACGCTGCCGGGGCGCCTGTAGAGGATGATAAGATGAATTTAATCTCAGTTAGCTCCTCGTGATAAATTCATCAAGAGATGAATATATCATGTTTATTTGAATAAATGTATTCATCAGGAATATATCATGATGGTTTCCAGGGGGAACCGCGTGGAGGTCAACCTAATATGGACCATTGATATATATATTATAGCTTATACATCAGAATTAGCCATTGTGTGGCTAAGGTGGGGCATGCACAAAGAAGGTTGGGAAACACTGATCTAGTTTAAAAAAATGACTACTATTCAAAAATGGCGAAATTAAATTAATATGAATAAAGGATATTCTATTCAAATCTATTAATAATTATGAATAATATCGACAGGCGTATTAAAAGCGATCCAGTGCGGCGACGAGTCGGACCGCGGTCGTATCACGAAGGACGTGGTGGCGTTCCACGCGGCAGACTTCAACAAGCTGGTGCAACTGCTGCAGCTCGATCTCTACGAGCCGCCCATATCGCAGTGTGTCACGTGGTATGTATGTCCATGTGGTACAATCTACACAGACAGACAGTCCCCTTTGTCGAGGCTGCTTTGAAGCCGAAGAAACGGCCGCTCACGTAATCGTAGAGTGCGTAGTGACCACACAACGAACACAAATCCTTGGAATGGTGAGGTCGCTCCGTGAAGCCTGTGAAGACACCAGGAGGCTTCTGCGCTGCTGGGAGGTCTCGGTGGTCTTGCGGTTTAGCACACCGCGTTATTTCCGATGGTCGCGGGTTCTATTCCTCGCACTATACAAACATTTTGTATTCATGAGTACGATTGATTGTTTGTGCCGGTTTGTGCGTTTACTATGTATAATATGTATGTATTTACTATTACGTAGGAATCCCCTAAGAGAGAATTTTGATAAATTCCAGCCCTAAGGGGATAAATTAACGCGAGCGAAGCCGCGGACAAAAGCTAGTTACTAATATACCTGTTGTATTACATAGGCTTGAAGAAGCCAAACTGAACCAGTTAAGGCGAGAGGGCGTCCGGTACTCCCGTCTGTCGCTGTGTTCGGACGACATCTACTTCCTCCCAAGGAATATCATACACCAGTTCAGGACCACCTCCGCAGTCACCTCAGTTGGTAAGTGCATAAATTATACATTAATACGTGAAGAGAAAACTGTGTACTGCTTTTTAGAAAATATAGATAAGGACTAAGTAAGTAGGATAGTTTATATACAGAATTATTAAATGTTTAATAAATTATGCAAGAAAAATACATTAAAACAAAAAAATATTACGCACACTACAATGTATTTGACACGCGCATATATACTGTTTGTTTATTGTAAAGTCTTTTGTCAAATTGATCTACTCTTGGATAAGTGGCAACCCATACCAAACATATACACACATACATAATACATACATATAATTATTAGAAATAAATAATATTACAATCAACTTGCACAAATTGCTAGAAAACGCGGGAACGCGTTGTCCTTCAACCCGCGCTGTTCCCCGCAGACACAGTAGCTGTATTAACTTACCTGCGCATCAGCCGACCGCGCCCATTCCGATTGCTCTTTCATTGTGAATGTATGTTGATTAAGCGCTCGCAATAAATGGACATTTTATTTAAACAATCATATCATAATTGTCTTATTTAGTGACGTATAGTCCCTGGGAGTACTGTGCTGCAATTGGTGACCCCGATTGGAATACGCGTGCGGATTATTATACCTTAATAAACATTACACCATAGTGAACATTTAAAATATGGACGCCGACAAATCAACAACGCCACAATTAGAAGTCAGCCGAGTAACAGTAAAAGTGCGTCCATTCTGGCCTCGAGAACCGGCATTATGGTTCTCTCAAATTGAAGGGCGCGTTCCCGCGTTTGCTAGCAATTTGTGCAAGTTGATTGTAATATTATTTATTTATAATAATTATATGTATGTATATGTTTGTTATGTGTTGCCACAGATATTTCATCACCTCCCAGCTGATCAAGTACCCTACGAGCCCAACTAAAACCCCAAGATCATTAGTTAAAATCGAGCCTGTACTAAAACCACTTAATGTTTTTTTTATCAACAGCGTGGCATCTACGGCTAAAGCAGTATTATCCCTCATCAGAGGCCTCATCACCAGCCGACGAGAGACCGACCAATCCTCAGCCCATTCCCAATGAGATCACGGTTGATGGTAAAAAGTTTTTGAATATTTTCTATCATTCTCTCCAAATTCGTCTTTATTTACTATAAAGTCATTGCTTTTTCACCTAACAAAAATGGGGGCGAAATGGTAATACAAATTCGCGAAAAAACTTATGGAACGGCTAAAGGCTCAGCCTGCCGGTAACGTCTGGTTTTTCATATGGAACAGTACCTATTTGCTTAGTATTATTCTAAATAAGCACAATTTTTAACCATGGGTATACACTACAAAGGTCAAAACTAAATCTAAATTAATCTATTTTATTCTGCATATGTTTAAATATGAATATGTTAAATAAATTAATGCCCATGGGTTGACTATAACTTTGTTACTCATAATTGACTATTTATAAGAGCGTTTCGATAGTTTTTAAACTAATATTCGAAAATTTACAATATATCATTTACACCTATTTTACTAGTAGGCTTTCACGATGCCCCAGTAAAGTTTAAACTGTTTAAAAAGATTTTATAATACTGACCATTATCATTATCATCACACATTGTTCTTTATAAGTGAATTCGGTTATTATTCTTGAAAAAGTATTAAATCTAATATTATCTATTTCATTCTAGAATCTAAGAAATCTACAACAAAACATAAGTCTGGAGTGATAGAAATGAGAGCATTAAGCGCAAAATTCAAAGAAAAACCTGCACTAAAACTAACTGAAGCAAGGAAAAGTATAGATATTCAAGTGAAAACGGAAAAGCAGGCGGACGAGAAAAAAGACAAAAAGCCAGACTCGAAAACAGACAGATCTGAGCAGAAACCCGAGAGAACAGACAAGGACAGGACAGAACAAAAGTTGGAAAGAAACGACGTGAAGTCGGAACGAACGGAAATAAAAACTGAGAAGACGGAATCGAAATCTGATAGGGTCGACCACAAATCCGACAAAACGGACCAAAGAACAGATAGGACTGAACACAACAAAACAGATAGAATAAAACAGAGGCACGATAAGACTGAAAAATCTGAGAGGAATGACAAGTCCCACAAGAATGATATCAAAGTGGAGAAAGTGGAAAAGATGGAGAAACTGGATAAGATGGAGAAACTGGATAAGAATCACACGCACCGACATAAAGAATCGGATAAAAATCGCACGGAAAGTCGGTCCGACAAATCACACGATCACCACAGGAGGCACTCGTCGTCGCGGTCGCACAAATCATCGCACAAGTCGGATCGGCCGAGAGATCACAAAGACCACAGGAAAGAACACAGAACTGATGATAGGAAGTATGAGAAACATAGATCAGACAGTGGGAAAGATGCCAAGTATTCAGAAAACAAGGCAACGCTGGAAGCCGTCAAGTTACCACAGGAGGTGGTGCATCGGCCCCCGGATTAGTTATTGACTGGACAAACTTGACCATCTCCAGTGAGTGCGGTGTCAGTTTGCTTGACAAAGGATTGTGGACTTTAATGGTAATATTTTATAACATTTTTTTAAAAAGAACGTCAATTTCCACTTCCAATGTGATTTTAACAATAAGTTGAAAGTTGAAATCTTCATGAAAAAACAATTTAAGTTTTAATTCATAACCAATAAAGTCCACATTTCTCTGTCATGCAAAATGATACTGCGGTCTCCTTGGAACTTAGCGTTAGGACAAATTTTGTAAATATTCTATAATCGGTCTCGTAGAGGCTACGTGCGATGATATGAATGAATGCGCAGTTTTGGATCTTCCAAACAAAACCAATCTTTATAATAATAAATATAGAGTTTATAGTTCTAAACTTGTTTCTCAATTTAAATTTAGTTTATCATGCATAATAGGATTGCAAAATAACTAATAACTTATATTGTTGATTATTATATGTCTTAACAGATTAGATTGTATATTCTTTTGAGTTATTTTTACTTTTTCTACTATTTGTCCAAGAATACGTATATGTAGGCGACGTAGTTATCTTGTCTGTCCATATTTATATTTATAATTAAAAATAACTTGATGAAAGTATCAGTTTTCACCATGATCTGTTTTTTTAATAAATTTATATTTCACGTGTTAGTTATGTTTTTAGAAACAAAATAGAAGTGAATACAAAACAATGTAGCAGAAGTGAACTAGTATTAATTTCGCAACATCTAAAACTGCGTCGCGATTGTGATTTGAGAGTTTTAATGAAGCTGAAAAAGAAATATAATAAATAATTTTTAAGAAGAAAAATAAATTAATATTCACAATATTTGAAAAAATAAACTGCACTAATATTTATAGAAGTATATTCAGATAGCTTAGTTAAGTATAAACTTACCGTTTTGTGATTACTTTATATTATTTATTTTGTAGTTATCGGTTAAGTTATTGTCAAAACGGAACCTTCAATTCTGAATGCAATCTGACGTTATCGATTTTCGATTATTGTTCTACGTATAAAGAAATTCGCTAAAGAATTAAATAATAAAAAATAGTTGACATAATATGTTTTATTACTTCGCTCACTGTCCCCTAAGTCTAAGAGTTAATAATAATCTTAGGACAATTCTCACAGCGCCATCTAGACCCAAGTTAAGCTAGCTAAAGCTTATGTTATAGGTACTATACAATTAATATAAATACATAGATTTTTATTCGTAATTACATACATATAATACATACTAAACTAAAAAAATTGGTCTGGGGTACCTATACAAACAATCGTCATGAATATAAATGTTAGTACCGTGCCAGGAATCGAACCCGCCACCATCGGAATTAAGGTATGCTAAACCGCTAGGCCCCCGAACCCTTCAAAGACCTGGTATATTTTTGTGAGGGAGATATAAAATTTTGTAAATAAGTAAATGAATATTATATATCTTTATTTAAATAAAACTTGGTATTTTAAATATTCCTGGCGAATCAATAAAATGTTGGATAATAACATCGGACCGCGTTTGTGATATATTTTATGGTTTACTATTACAATTCAATAAAAAAATGTACCTACACATTAAAATAAAAAAACTAGGGCTCTTATGAATTGCCTCCTAAAATGTACAATCAATTCTGTCTATGACTATAAAAAGAAAAGTAACCTTAGAGTTTCATATGAGATTAGATACAGATTTCTTACAAACTTGGACAGTTATGATAATTTCATTAATTTTAAATTATTCACTAATCACTCTGCGACTTCTTATCTTTACAATTAAATAAAATTGATGTGTTTGTAATTTAAAATTAACAGTTTTTTCCTATGAAAAATGATTAATATGAAAGTATATACAGTACTCAACATAAAAATATTTTAATAATTTTGTTTACACGTTATTAGAATAAAAAATTTACTACCACTTCCTCTTTGTGTGAACCTGGTATAGGTATAGTTACCTTTTACTTTAGATAGTGATTCAAGAGGAAAGTTTACATAATTTTTATATAATACATGTACTATATAAACATATAATATATGAATGTGGATGGTTATAAGGGTAGAGGAAGACCGAAAAAGAGATGGATGGACTGTGTGAAAGATGATATGGTGAGAAAGGGAGTAAATAACGGGATGTCTGCGAACAGAGATGACTGGAAGAGAAAGACATATTACGCCGACCCCAAATAAATGAGATAAGGAAGAAGCAGATGATGATGTACAAGCCGGGCAAAGCCAGGCCTGGTAGCAAGTTTAAAATAATTGCCAACGAAAACTGGTGTCATGTAAAAAGAATTTTTCAGTTATAATTTAATCGGCAGAAATTCGCAGGGCATCAGGATAGTAAAATTAAAAATAAAACAAGAGTGATAACGTTTTACAATTTTTTTATTTCCTTATACCGCAGTCAAGGTATACTGAAGACGTCGACAAAACAATTTTTAAGTACAAACAAGTTTTACTTAATACAAAGACGGTATTCAGTCAGATCGTAAAATTCGTAAAATTATCTAAAATACATAATAATTAAATGAGTACAATATCAATGCCTTTAGGCCTCGTTTAGACTGCGAGCGCTCGAGCGACATCAGACCTATCACGTAAACTTTATTTTACGCGACTGTCATACGCAAATGTATTTTTTTAAATAGAGCTTTATACAATTGTATATTTAAAAATTATAATTATATATTTAAGAAGCATCACATAAAAATAGTGGATTATTTTAATCAGTATATAGTAAAAAATTAAGGCACATATAAATGATATAACATGTGTGAAAAGTTTCTCGAAGTGAATTCAAGTGGTATTTCGATTCGATATCATCTTTATTATTATTATTAGCCATAAGTAGGTGTTAATTGCAGACAATCATTGCACACTTCTGAACCTATAGAGTTATCAACTACTTCCCCTATTACTATGTGTATAAATATTTATATATTTTTTATTATAAGTATAAATTTATATAATCCATATATTCAATATATAATTAATCGCTTGCAGTCTAAACTCAGCCTAAAAAATAACTTATATAAATAATATGTTATAGAAAATGACACCTAAATGATAATGGCACAAAGACGAATTTAATAAATAAAGTAATGGCAAGATGACAAAATAATTAATAATTTCCGACCTCTTTTGATATTAAAAAAAAATATTCTACAAATTACGGTTCCTTAAGGATCAATAACTCGATCAATAACTTCATTATTTCACTCAAAATATCAAAAAGCCTATGAAATTTGCATGCCTATTGAGGCAAAACATATAATGGGACATTATATTCTACAATGACAACTAATGTAACTTATGCTTATCGCAAAAAAATTTGATTTAATTTGAATGGTGATTAATAATTTCAAATATATGATACTTTAATAATATCTTTAATAAATAACTACAGGTCATTGTCTAATGAAATGATATTAACATAGTCATAACGGAGATCTTTTTCACCTACCATTTGTTTTAAATAATTTATTTATATATCGACAACTTTATATGTAGTACAATAGTTATTTTTATTCATTAATAGTAATATTATATAGATTATATTTGTGCGTATGGATGTACGAAGTACTCTCCGACCCAGTAGGTCTAATTTTGAATTTTTTTTAGAGGTCAATATATATCTATTTTTTTTTTAATTCTTAGTAATGTTTTCATTTTTTTTGTTTTTGTTTTGTGAGTATTACGTGTTTAAGCATTTATCTAATAAATACCATTTCGTTTCATATTATCACGCTACGACCAATAGTAGCGATGCTGCATTGAAAAATGTTCGGGACAGTTTGTTCTTATTATAATATTAATAATTTCAATTAGGTGTGAACATCATATAATAACAAGATTATTTAATTAAATTGATGTACACACAAAAATAGCCATATATATATATGACCATATTTCGATACATCTGATTATATATAGAATTCTAAATTCGTTAATTTCGATTGTAAATTTTGGAGTCCTAAGTTGTATAAGTATAAAAAGATCATCCTTAAGCTAATATAAAATATTTCTTATATATATAACAGTGTAAATAATCCTTAATTCATGTCAAATTCGCAGTTTTATGTTCAAGTTAAAACATGATATAAATATAATGTAAGAATATAAAGTTGTCGAACAACAAATTCTATAATTTCAATACAATTGCACGCGTAAGGCACTTGTTCCATAAAATGCAACAACTATCAGTCCTATACAAATAAATATTAATATATCTAAATAATATTCGTCAAAATTCGGGGATTACAACCATTTCTTAATTATTATTTAAGATTATATAAAGGCAAGTCATGTTAATTTTACAACTTGAAGGGTTAAAACGCTTTGGTAATTGATGGTTTGTGGGAAGTCGGCGCGGCGGCGCGGTCACTGCAAACAAACGAACAAAATTAAAAACTTACACAAAATGGTCACGCCACTAACTCTTTAATGACTAATAATTTTGACGACCTCGATGGTCTAGCGGTTTAACGCACTGCTTTACTTCCGATGGTCGCGGGTTTGATTCCTCGCATGTCACAAACATTTTGTATTCATGAGTTTGATTCTTTGTATCGGTCTGAGTGTTTTCTATGTATAATATGTATGTATTTGCGAAAAAAACCAGTTGTCTAGTACCCATAACACAAGCCTTAGCTAGGTTAACTTGGGTGTAGATGGCGCTGTGTGAATTGTCCTGAGATTATTATTATCGTTAATAATAATTGTGTACTCACCACAAATCTATTAACTTTTGGCACAAAGGCTTTCGTCACGGTAGTCTGCTGCACTTTCATGTTTTCAAATTTCTCGCGTAGACTGAAATAGTGATAATCATTGTATTATTACAATTTACTAGATGTGAAACTTACCACCCGCGTGAAACTTATAGCCTATATGTTATTCTAATGTATAAGCTATACTGTAAAGTTTCATCAAAATCTGTTCAGTAGTTTATGTGTGAAAGAGTAACAAACGTCCATCTATACTCACAAACTTTCGCGTTTATATTTATATTATTTATTAATAAGATATTTCACAGCCTCGGCGATCAAGTGGTTTAGCATACCGCCTTATTACCGATGGTCGTTGGTTTGATACCCCGCACGGTTTTTTCGAACTATTCTAATGCTGTTGGCCACAGCTGGCCTTTACAACTTCACTAGACAATAGGGGGCGAGTGCAGATGGCACCAAAATATAAGATGGATGGATGGATGGATGGATCCAAATATAAGAAAGAACTTATGGAGCGGCTGAAGGCCAACTCTCTCCTGACGGATATGACTTTAGTCTGAGGGCATCGCTGGAGGTTCAATCCTCGGCTCTGGCTGTCGTAATTAGCGATTACCGTTTGAATTGGACAGGCGATAGATCGGAAGCGTCCTTTTACGGTGCAAACATTTGTATTCATAAATTTTGTATTATTTTAGTTGTTATTATGTATATTATGTATGAATTTACAAAAAAAATATCTAAGTATTTATATCAGTTATCTAGTACCCATAACACAAGCTCTGCTTACCGTGGGACTAGATGACGCTGTGTTAATTGTCCAGGCTTATTTATTTATTTATTTACAAAAAAAATATATTTTTTTTTATATCAGTTATGTAAGGTTATAATAACAGACCTCTTGGCGGTCTCCAACTGGGATTCACCATCCTCGTCGTCATCCCGGGCCTCCATCCGTTCTCTGAGGTCTGGCTGCAGGCGGGCGGCGGGTGGTGTTCGCTGCTCCGCATCAGGCCAGTTCTCGAATCGGTCGCGGAAACTTGTCGTGCGTGCCAATTGCTGAGCCTGTGGGGAACATTCCAATCAAATTCATTCATTATGTTCCCTACAATCAAGTACAATAATTAGGCTTATCCGTCATACTGATGTCCGAGCGTATGGTCTAGTCTAGTACTTTAGTACATTGATGGCTGGCTCGTTCGTCATACTAGTGCACAAATGTTTATTGCTAAAGTAAAAATAGGTAATACCTTTATTGGTACATTAAAAATACAGTATGTATATTTAAAAAAAAAATATGCCAGATAAAAAAAAATATTACTATTATTACTACATTAAAAAAAAGACTATTATTGCCCTATTAAAAGAATAAGTATGACTATTTATTGCCAGATTAAAAAAATAAATATGACTATTAATACCAGATTAAAAAAACAATAAGACTATTTATTGCTAGATTAAAAAAAATAAGTATAACTATTCAAAGTGCTTCAAGTTAAGTATATTTGAATAAAGAAGTTTCTGTTCTGACCTGTTTGAGCGCCTCGTCGCGCTGCCTCGCCTCGAGGTAGAGTCTCCTCCGCTCGTCCTCGCTGTCTTCCTCGTACTCCTCGGAGCTATATTCCTCCTCTGAGGAGTCTACGTGACGGTTGTTTTCTCCGGGTGGTGGGGGAGTAAACCGCTTTAGTGGTTTTGGGCCTGGAATTATCAAGTATAGATTAAGTCGGCTGTTTTGTTTGGTGTAAACGATAACTTTTCCTAAAGTTTAAGCAATAAGGTTGTTTATCACATTTATGCAATTTATTTTTATTTCGAAATTATTCTTTTTTATATTTTGCATAGGTATATAGTAATAATATTTTTTGTAGTCCTGTGGGCTAATTATGTAACACGATATGAAATTGTTTCTGTTGAAGTTGTGATGCAATATGAAATCATTTCAAAAATGAAATCATTTCATCAATTTAAAAAATGCGATCAAGTAAGGTCTAATGACCGCAACATAAATCATTTCTATCGATAAAACACTACTATGAAGTTGCAGCGGAATATTGTTAATCCGACCAATTTAAAAAGTCAGTACATTAGATAGGTTATACCTTTAGAGGGATACATTTTAATTTATTGGGTTGTTACACTAGTTGGTTGATTTGAAACAATTTTTATTGCGTTCAATAAATACAAAATATACTGCAGTGTTCACTTGTTAGTTTTTATTTTAATTTTATTAATAGACATTTAATAAAATAAAATAAAGAAAGTCTATTCTATTCTAATGAAAAAATAAGGTTAATAATTTTGAATATAAAAGCATATTTTATACAAACTATTTATAATCATTAATAATATTAATCTAACCTACAAATTAAATTTTTTTTTCTGCTATAGATACCTAGGTAAGTAAAGGTATCCATATAAATTTAAATGATATGGGCACATCTTTTTAAATTTGTACATAATTGTAAAAACTTTAAACAAATAAATTTATTTACTTTAAACAAATCACAGAGCATCATAAACGTTGTATTCCGTTCACAGAGCACCGTATTCATTGAAATAGTTTTTTAATTATATTAATATCATAATCAACCCTAATTTTATATTAAACATTTACTCTAGTTAATACAACATTCTATGTGATTTGGGACGAAAATAAAATAGAATTGGCAACACTGATGTCGTGTTGTGAGTCGTGACAATTTTCCCATTTTAATAAATTTAAAACCTTTTCACGACTTTCTACGTAATATTTAATATAATAAAAATATATGTAATACTGAAAATTACCAAAACAAGATAAATAATGCTGCTAATGCTGATATTTTAAAGATTGTAACCAAAAGAAACACCTTCTAAATTGTTTCTCATAATGTAAAAACCGTTTCAATTCCACGCTGTCATTTCGGCAAAATAGCGATTACGTGACGTTGCAACGAGGTTACTAAATCGACATTCGATAGAAATAATTTTTATCGATATGTAAAGTTGCGTTTACGTTGCAATGCTAGTTGACAGCGTCAAATGGCGTCTATATGATCGCATTATTGACAGATGACGTCATTTTCACTACGTTACATACGAAAATCGTTGCGAACGAAGTTACATAATTAGCCCACTGTTCACGAATATGCGCTACGGTTACCACTTACCAAGAGGTGGACCATCAGGTCGTTGGCAAACGAGCTTCCTTTTACCTATTAAAAAAACAACTAATGGACAGTGAGGTTACCCTGGTTTTCTTCTTGTTTGTGGAGCTGCTCCTCCATCTGGCGGAAGACGGAGATCATCCTGGAAGCAGTGTGGCGGTCGGCTGCAAGGCCAGTGTCGACTGCTGGCTCATCGCTGCGGACCACACTTGGCTCGTGGTATACTTCAGGCGAGGGTGACTTTGGACGCTGGAATAATAGTCTTATATATAAAATTCTCGTGTCACAATGTTAGTTATTATACCTCTGAATCGGCTTGGCCGATTTTTATGAAATTTTATATGCATATTCAGTAGGTCTAAGAATAGGCTACTATCTATTTTTCATACCTCTAAGTGAGGGTTCTCCACCCCCATAACATTTATTTTTTATTTTTTAGTCTAATGTTATTACTTTTATTCTTTTATAATGTGGTATTAAACAATACATACAACCTTAAATTTTTACCCTGGTATCACCAACCCCTATTATTTAATAGTAATTTATATGGCAAAACAATGTTTGCCGAGTCAGCTAGTATAGATATATATTGGTGATGCTTGCATCTGTTCATACAAGTATATGAACTCTATATTCATTATATGCGCAATAAAAAATTGGTATAAAACAAAAGAAGTTACTCACCTGAGTCTGCCTGGGCGGCGTCATGCGGAACTCCTTGCGTTTGGTCTCCGGTTTGTAAGTCTCGAAGAACTTGAACCGGTCAGAGATGTCAGCAGTTTCGATCTGCACCTCTTCTATCTTATCTGCCGCGCGAACCACATCCTTAGGCACGAAAGCCTAAACACAAATTGATGGATTAAACAATAGCTATAGATGACACGTTCGTTCACGTGCGATTTAGTGCGGCAAAGCCAGCTCAATCGTGAGTTATTTTTTTTATCGAGGGGTTTAGGCTACTGGCAAATGTTTAGACTCGTAGGACTGCGACCTACATAGATCTATTGTATTATTCTGATGTATAAGCTATATTATTGCAAAGTTTCATTAAAATTCATTCAGCAGTTTTTACGTGAAAGTGTAACAAACATCGATCCATCCATCCACACTTAGAAACTTCCAAGTTTATAACATCTTATTAATATTATAAACGCTAAAGTTTGTGAGTATGGATGGATGTTTGTTACTATTACACGCAAAAACTACTGAACGGATTTTCATGATACCTTACAATAATATAGCTTACACATCAAAATAACACATATGCTATTTTCATGCGAGTGAAACCGCGGGCACAGCTAGCAAGATAAGGGAAGTATTACAAGTTAGTAGCTCACCAGTTCCTTCCGTTTGGGCGGTTCTTGTGGTGGTGGGGAAGTGGGTGACATGTTCTTGGCGTTAGCATCCAGCTCCAAGAATATAGAGCGAGATTTCTTGCCAATACCTGCGCAAAAAATACACTGAATTTCATGTCTGTGTTCAATCTCTTTCTAGTAATATGTTCGGTTGACCTCCATGGTTGACCTCCGTTTCCCCTTGAAAACCATCATCCTTCACAGGTGCCCCGCCTGCGCTAACGGTCTACGCTGGCGGCAGCTGTGTGTGTGGAGGATGATAAGATGAACATGAGGCCAGGTCAGTTAGCCCATCGTGACAAATTCACCAAGAATTTATCCCGATAGTTTCCAGGGGGAAATAGGGTTATTAGTCCACATTACTAACAATCCCCTTCCCCCTGGCCAGGTCAGTTAGCCCACGTTACAAATTCACCAAGAATTTATCCCGATAGTTTCCAGGGGGAAATAGGATTATTAGTCCACATTACTAACAATCCCCTTCCCCCTGGCCAGGTCAGTTAGCCCACGTTACAAATTCGTCATGAATTTATCACGATGGTTTTCAGGGGAAACGTATGTACATAGGTCAATCGAACCTATTACTAGCAAAGGGGTGCACCGTGTCATTATCATACAATAAAAAAACTCATAAATACAAATATTTGTACCATGTAAGGAATTATAGAATTAATGGTATACTGGATTTAATGACACAGCGGAATGTTCGAGAAATGAACAAAAAGAAACATAAAAAAAACAATACCAATATTCCTGGTGTGATGTTCTATTAAAACAAACCGTAATCGGTGAGCGTAATGTTTTTCTCTTCCATTCATCCCTATTCGCAGTCATCTTGTTATTTACTCCCTATCTTACCATATCATCTTTCACACAGTCCATCCATCTCTTTTTCGGCCTCCCTCTGCCCTTATAACCATCCACATTCATATGTAACACCTTCCTTAAAACATTATCTTCAGTCCTACGCATTACCTGCCATCTATTAAAACAAATAATTAATTAAATAAAAAAAAAATTAAATTAATAAAAAAATATTTCAACAAAAAAACCAACCTTCGTTGAAGAGTGTACGGTCGTCAATTTCCCTGCTCTTGGGCGGTTGATTCTCATCATTGAACACTTCTCCGTTCTCGAAGCGTTGCTTGATAGCCCGCGACTTCTCTGCGTCTAACTCGAGTTCGCGAGCGATTTTATCTGCTGACGTCACACCTATTAATGGAAAAAAAAATTTAGAAATAAGAAACCTTTTTTGAACTCGGTAAGTACATAATATAATTGTATCCAACGAAAAAAAATAAATGTTCTAATAATATACAAAAATTAGTAAATATAGACATTTTCGAGAAACTCCGAGCAATTCCCGGGACTTGTGACCCGGGTGTAGGTATAAAGTTTTTGGTAATGTATAAAAAAAAGAACACAAATTTTGTAGCAAATAATAAACCAAAGATTAAAGACTCACCTTGTTCACTTTGCAGTACTGACTGTTCGTACATCTCTTTAATTTTAGCTTGCTTGCCCTATAACAAATAATCGTATTATAATATTTACTAGCTACTCGCCCCCGCTTCGCCCGGGTGTACATGTATTATACATATAAATCTTTCTCCAGAATCACTCTATCTATTAAGAAGAACCGCTTCAAAATGCGTTGCGTACTTCTAAAGATTTAAGCATATATAGGGATAGATAGACAGCGATTTTATTTTATATTATGTAATGGATTTATTTTCTCCACGATTTATAGTGTAACAGATCCATTAGGGCATGTAAAATTTATAATAAATACATAATGATAATAACAAGAAACGCATTTTAATTACAAAATTAGCATAAAAATACTGTTTTTTTTTATGCGGCTAGAGTGACAATCAAGTTGACGGCTCATTTGACGAGATAAGTGGTAACGGTCGTCTAAATAAATGACCAGCACTGTAGACATCATGTTACACCCGTGATATATCACGCTTGAGTTGCCATTCCGTTCCATTAGTCATTATGAGTAATTCTTTCTTTTCTTTTATCAGAAGTAGCCTTAGTGAAATGTCTTGCAAAAAAAAAGATATATATACATACTGATATATATACTGTGGCTAAATTTCTTGAATAAAATAATATTGCGACTATAGAGATGTAAGCTGGATAGCTTATATCTCTATAGTTCATCAACTTGAATGATAGGATTATCATTCAAGTTGGATCAAATTGCACACAATGTGCAAATCAAATTTGCGGTTCAGTATTTTAGGAGTCCAAACAACGTGACACGTTGTTTGTCCGCGATGTCGCGTTGTGTGTCCGACACAATTTTTATATATAAAGATACATATATACTGCACTCACCATGAAGAGTCTACTGCGTATATTTTGTATTTCCTGCTTACGCTCCCGGTGTCTCTCAGAGGACGAATGCTGGCCGGTTTCAAACTTGCCGACTATCTCGCTCATGTTACAGAACGAGACTGGTTGCTCTTTGTTTGCCGTGTGCTTGTACGATTTTCTAAGTACTGAGTCTTCATCATCTAAAAAACAATCACTGACTTAAATTTTTTAGAACAGAACAGAACCGAAATTACCTCTATTCAAATAAATTAATATAATTAAGTATAGTATTTTAATGTTTAAACCATGAAAATTTGAAAAAAGAAGTGTATTAATTTAAAAGAGCAACACACAAGTTCCATGCTCATTCTTCATGTGATGAGACCATCATGTCATGTGACCACTCATTCAGAACGCAGACTGCGTTCTGAATGAGTGGTGGAAAAAAGTATGAATATTCAAACTCGTTTATTAAATTTATTTGAATAAAGATTATTTCTATTCATAATATTTAATTGTATAGTATAACTATATTCAAATAATTATTTTACTTTAAAAATGCAATTGTACATTTATTTAACAGAGTAATTTAGTTTTCTTTTTTGTAAATATTTGTGTATAATAAATTAATATTTTCACTAAATAATGTTAATTTTGGTGTTGGCTCGATTCCAAACTATTAGACAATAACTTTTTACCTACCTTCTTCATCCTCGGGTTCACTGGAGCTCTGCTCCACCGGTACACCGTTCAGAGACTCGTCAGACACTCCGATATCCATGCCTTTAGCTTTGAACCTGTGACCATAAATTTGATTAGAAACAACATAACTAGAGGGAGATTTTGTACAAAGTCAACCTGAGTACCACAACAATAATAATAATAATATCTAATATATTATTATAACAGTATCTTAACTAAGAAAACAAAATAATTTAAAACTTATAGCGGATATATTACAATATTATTCTTAACAGATTTTAAATATAGAGGTCTTTGAATATAATAATAATAATCCTAGGCAATTCACACAGCGTCATCCAGTACCGAGTTTAGTAGAGCTTGTGTTATGGGTGCTAGACAACAGATATAAACACATAGATATATTATTTTGTAAATACATACATAATATATATAGAAAACACATATACCATTTCAAATAATAATACTTATGAACACAAATGTGTGCATCGTACGAGGACCACTAAACATCCGAGCCCGTAAATTAATAGAGAATTTATTAAAAAAATACGAACATATTTTTAATCTGTATCCAATCGCGAAATACAAAAATGACTAATATATATTACCAGTGTAAAAATATCCAAACACTTCCGTTTGATTAATTCAATCTATCCACAGATTAACTATAATTAATAAAGATTCTAACACGTTCAACTTCCTCGAAATACTCCACTATAATGCCATGTTCTTTAAAGTAACAAGATTAACAATACATTATTAAAACTAAATTACTATCCTAACTCTATTATGTTAAGGAATATTTTCCAATGATTGTTAGGTTTGATGGAGAAAAGAAGTTGGTATTTTATAGAAGTCTGGTGCTTACAATGTTTTTCTATAGAGCGAGAATTTTGTTTAAATGTAGTACATTACTTGTCGAAGTCAAATACAGCCAATAAAATAGTGATTAAGGTATGCATGGAAGTGTTAACTAGCAGCATAGTGAATTTATAATGTCAAATACTAGAGTCAAAGTCTTTTCAGAAACGACTAATCATGACCTTCTTCCCGAGTATAGCCTTGTATGCTCGTGAGACGTGGACACTTTGACACAAAAACAAGTGACAAACTGGAAGTCTTTAAAATGTGGTGTTGGAGAAAGGTGGAAAGAATTAGCTGGAAAGATAAAATAAGGAAGATGGAAGTGGTTCAAAGGGTTAAAGAAAAGAGACAGATCATATATATTATTGAGAATAGGCGGGGAAAAATGTTGGGGCACTTGATACGACACAGCGAACTTATTAATAATATTGTCGAAGGAAAAATAGATGGAAAGAGAGGAGGTGGAAGACCAAGACACAGCTATATCAAGCAGGTTAAGGCAAAAGTTGTAGTTATGTCGTATCAACAGCTAAAAAGATTGATAGAAGGAAGGTGGCGGAAGTTCCACCGACAAGAGCACAGCTCTTAAATTTTGAATAAATGAAATACTAGTAACTTTATAACATACATGTACTGTAATTAAATTATGTAACGAACGAATAAGAATAAGTTTATAAAACCTATCTAATTCATTAATAAACTGCGGGTCCCAACACATCTTTTCGCGGAGCAAGCAAAGCGAGTAAAAACGAATATTATAATCTTATTCATATTATAAGTGCGAAAGTGTGTAAGTATGGATGAAACTTTACAGTAATATGCATCAGAATAACACATAGGCTATATTTTTTATTTAACGCGAGTGAAACCGCGGGCACAGCTAGTACTAAACAAATAAAACACAAAAAAGGGCATGGATCTTCAGTTTATGAACGATATGGGCGAAACTTGGGTCTAGATCGCGCTGTATGAATTGTGCTAAGATTATTATTATAAACGTCTGCACAAGCAATGTACGAAGTAATAGCGATAGCGTGCTCTAATCGATGAGTAGCTTGGTACACGGTAGAATACTTCTCAGCGGTCACAAAAATAGAATATTTGAAATCAACGCTTCTTGTGACGCAAGTAGTAAGGTGGATGTTATAATGGAGATTTTGATACTTTCATTTTATGATTTTATTGATCAATTTATAGATCATAAATCTGTAATATCTTTGATCCGGTTAAATAATGAAATTATGTTCAGATATATTTAAGACTTCGTCTGCATGGAATGACTTTGGATAACATTTTTATAACATTTGCTTTAATAAATAACCGTGGACTATTAACACAGCGCCATCTAGTCCCACGCTAAGCAGAGCTTGTCTTATGGGTTCTAGACAACTGTACAAATACATAGATATTTTTTTTGTGTAAATACATACATAATATACATAGAAAACACCCAAACCGATACAAACAATTATACTCAAGAAATGTTTGCACCGTGCGAGGAATCGAACAAGTGACCACCGAGGGCGTCAAATAAAAATATGTATAAATAATTCATTGTAATTAGATTCGACAATAAATTAATAAAAGAGGAAAGTAAACATTTACAGTTTTACTTTCCTTTATACGAACATAGAGTTATTAACAGATGGCGATCTACAAACGTACATGCGAAGTCGCCGGCACTACTATGTATAGATAAAGTATCAAGACGATTCAATCAAACTACAACACATGTTCTCAGTTCCGTTTCTGACATATTGAATTCTGTACACTATCAATATGAAAGTTAAAAAAAAACGAAACACGAGAAGTAAAAAGTATATTTTACGTGTAACGACTACAGTTTATTTTAGATTCGTATATTTTTTTGTGTTGGATACTCGTTGCAAATATAGAGTAGACTGTGGTAGTAAGATGTATATTGTTATTTTATTATTATACTAGCTGGTCCCGCGACTTCGTCTGCATGGAATTTATATTTATTTTTCTAAAATAAAAGAATATTTCTAAAATAAAATTAGCATAAGTTAATCCTTATTACAGCTACCTGCCAAAAAAATCTCGTCAAAATCGGTCCAGCCATTTCAGAGATAAGCCGGAACAAACAGACAGACAGACCGCCAAAAATTGTACAAAATGTTATAATATTTAGATGTATGTTCCGTATACATGCGTATATTCATATGCATGTAGTAAAAAACGGTTATTTCAATATTACAAACAGACCCTCAACTATATTTATATGTATACATATTAATTAGCTATGCACGGTACATATAAACACTATAAATGGGACACTATTGATATTTGTGGAGAAAATAAATAAATATAATATTATTTGTAACAGTCAGTACTGCAAAGTAAACAAGGTGCGTCTATATAATTTGGTTTATTTACTAGCTATCAGCCCCGGTACATGTATTATTGTACATATATACACATTCCTCTTGAATCTATCTATGGCTAAAAAATGCATTGAAATCCGTTGCGTAGTTTAAAAGATGTAAGCGAAGAGATAGCGGAAGCGACTTCATTTTATATTATGTAAGGCTGGTTTACATTTATGGATATATATATATATATATATATATACGTGAGGATGTTTTACATTTAACTGCCTAAGGGTCCCCTATAGTCCGGAATTTTTTAGTAGAGTATCTTGTAATCCGACAAATTACAGATCCAGTGATAAGATTCTATGTTATATATATGTGTATGTATGTAGGTATATGCACTCTCAACTATATTGTCAAAAAAATACTCAGTAATAAATAATAGACCATGTCGGATTACAAGGGGGGCCGGATAAGACAGGGGCCGGATTACCGCGGGTCCACTGTATATATATTTGTGGTTATTACATACGTACTTTTCTTTTTGTTTTTTTATATCCACCCAAAGGTTTTTTTTTCGGACTATAATGCTGTTGGCTGCAGCTGGCCTTTACAGGTTCATCGGACGATAGGTGGCGAGTGCAGATGGCACTCCAAAGGAAGGACTTATGGAGCGGCTGAAGGCCAACTCCCGCCTGATACGACTTTAGTCTGAGGGCACAGAAGGGGGTTCGAACCACGGCTCAGGCCGTTGTAATTTCGGTACCCGTTTGATGGGGGATCGGAGAGGAGTGTATAAATAAATATTATAAACCAATTGAAATGAAGAGAAATAAACTTTTGTTATTGTCAAAGTAGTAGGCCGTTAGAAGTAAGTGTTACTAACTTGGCAAGTTTGGAGAGCAGAGCTGAGCTCTTCTCTCTTGGTGCCCGAGGTTCTGCTGGCAGCGGTTCCTCGCTGGTCTTGCTTTTCTTCTCGAACACTTCGAAACGCGACTTGACATCCAGTTGAGACAGTTCTTCTAAACCCAGATCCGGTTTGTCTGATGCTGTAGGTAATATATAGTATTAATTTACGGTTTGATTTAGTAGACTCAATCGGTATATCACTCGAGGACGTTAAGAACCCTGTGGTGCAGTGGTTAAGTACACTGCTAGCTAGAAATTTTTTAGGCTGTTTATTAAGTATAAATAAACATGACATTCAAAGTTTGTGAAAATGTTACCCTTAAGGGGGTAAATAAAATAGGGGATGAAAGTTTCTAAGGAATCTCGTAATTTTTGAAGCTAGAACGATGAAACTTTTTTTGGCTCTTTTGGGTTAGATTGTTATTAAATATATTTTCTTTATTTGGTCAAGGTCACTATTCCGCGCGGATGAAGTCACGGGCAAAGCTACTACCTTATCTTACTAATATTATACACGTGGAAGTTTGTGAATTTAGATCTATGGATATTTGTTACTCTTTCACACATAAACTACTGAATGGATTTTAATGAAACTTTACAATAATATAGCTTATACATCAGAATAGCACATACTATAGATATATAATATAATAGTATACATAGGCTATAAACTTCACATGGATGGAACCGCGGGTAAAGCTAGTTCACCATAAAATTATTCGTGTTAAGACTCGGTTAACAATATAAATAATGTTTAATTGTACTTATATTTTTTTATATATACGTACCTCTAACGACATCTGGTGGCAGTTCCACGGGGTTACTTTCACAAATGATCATCTGGTGCTTCTTCGGCTGAGTCGCTGTTGGTAAAGTTCAGAAATAAAAATTTTAATATATTTATTTAATTAATATATATGTATATCTGAGGACAACTCATACAGCGCCATGTAATCTAAAGCTTTGCAGATCTGATGGGTGCTAGACAACTGATATTAATACTTCGATTTTTTTTATAAATATATACATAGAAAATGCCCAAACCTATATAAACAATCATATTTATGAATACCGTCGTATGTTTGTATCGTGCGAGGAATCGAACCCACGATCATCGAAAGTAAACCGCTAGACCACCGAGGCAGTCAAACAACTAATATAGCGCCATCTAGTAAATGAAGTTAAAATTATTAAAATATATGGAATAACAGAAGTTCTTTCCAGCATGCACAGATGGCGTTTGCCCAAGCAAGATCCTTAACTTCGACGGTGGAACTTTCTAATTGAAATTTATATATCTATATAAATTTCAATATTTATATATTATATATCACTATATTAATACTTGAAACAAAAACTTTCTATCTTTTTTTAAGAAAATTGCGCGTATGAAGGAATTTTCACACACTTATAGTTTAATAGCTACAAGCTCCGGCTTCGCACGGGTATGTATTATACATATAAACCGTCCTCTTGAATCACTCTATCTATTGCTAAAACTGGATCAAAATCAGTTGCGTAGTTTAAAATATCTAAGGGTACAGACAGTGAAAGTCATTTTATACTATGTAAAGATTTAGAGAAGAAATAGAAATAATCTTTATTCAAATAAATTGAATACAACCATTTTTTTATAGTCATATTATTTCTATTCTACCACTCATTCAAAAAGAACGAGCAAGACTCATCACAAAAAGAACGAGCAAGAAACACACGAGTTTCGTTCCGCAAGGAGTGCAGAATGCGAATATTTTTTAATAATTATGCAATAAAAAATACATTAAATAATTTAAAAAACATTATATACATGTGTTTGAAACACATGCGCATGTGCTCTTTTGTTTATAGCCTGTGCTATTAGGCACATTGATTTAAGTAGAAAAAGTATAATCTATCACATTTAAAATAACTATTGTTGCTAAGTAACAGTTTGTATGTAACGTGCAACTGCGATCGGAACCAAAGTAAATTATATTTACTGCTATATATGTATTCCACACAATATCTCCATCATGTGCGACTGCTAGTGCCTTAAAAATTACTAACTCAGATTTTAAATTAATTATAGCCGAATTTCGACCACTAGTCAGTTGTCTAGTACCCATAATACAAGCTCTGCTTAGTTTGACACTAGATGGCGCTGTTTGAGTTATCCTAACATTATTATTATTATTAATTACTGGGTACGGAGACATGACACTTTAGATTTCAGGAATGGCAACACTTAAACAACTCTTACCATCGGTGGTGTCTTCTTCATCGACGGGTTTCGGCTCGAACAGTTGTTTGAAGTGCGGCTTGCAGTACAACGTCGTGTGGTCACTTTGATATGTCTCCACTCTGGAAATCAAATCCAAATATAAATAAGATTTTTATTTTTTTTTATTAAGGCGATGTCGTGCAAGAGATGACAAAGACAAAAATTTGGCAATAAATAAAAAAAAATGTTAGGGGTGGACGACCCCTATCATTTATGAAAAATAGATAGTAGCCGATTCTCAGACCTACTGAATATGCATATAAAATTTAATAAAAATCGGCCAAGCCAATATAAGACTAAACATTGTTTTGTCATATAAATTATAAACGTTATTAAAAAATAAGGATTGGTAGTAGAAGAAGCAAATTTAAGGCTGTATGTATTTTTTAATTCCACATAATAAAAATTTAAAATAAAATGCCGAAAAAGTGGAATTTTTTTTAACATATTGTTTTAAAAATTAGTTATAAACCTAGGTATTCTCAGACCTACTAAATATACATACAAAATTTCATCAAAATCGGTCAAGCCGTTTTGGAGGAGTATAAACACGAAACCTGTGACACGATAATTTTATATATTAGACTAGCTTGTTCACGCGACATCGTCCGCGTGGAATTTAACTTTATTTTTCTAAAATAAAAGTAGTCTAATAGAGCAAGAGCCCACGACGGCCAGACATACGTCATTTTAGTAAACGTGAAAGTTCTTGTATGTGTGTCCCCAACACAGGTAAGAACGATCCCCAAACATGAAACCTGGATCGTGGTTCCTTTGGCAGGCAACAGGTAACAAAGGTGTAAAAAAAATCATATCAAATTCGTTATTTTAAGAAACTTCATATTTTCATATATTGTTCGTAGCATTATTATAACTTGCGCTGCTCATTGCCAGCCACTTAGTGTGGTTCCAACCCCCCGCCGGACCCCCCTAAACTATACTATTTTAGAAATAGACTTACGTCATTTTAATAAAGCTGAACTTTATATATATTTTTGAGAGAACTATTAAACTGAGTTTCCTAAATTGCCAGACAGTTTTCTTGGTTCCTTATCCTACCAGACTCATTGAAACCGTATATTGGGTAACAATGGTGTATACAATTTCATATCAAATTCGTTATTTTAAGATGCTCCATTTTTTCACACATTGCTCGTAACAGTATTATAACTTGCTCTGCTCGTTGTCGAACCAAGAAAACTGTCTGGCAATTTAGGAAACTCAGTTTGAGAGAACTCTCAATAATATATATAAATTTCAGCTTTATTAAAATGACGTAAGTTTATTTATAAAATAGTATAGTTCAGGGGGGTCCGGCGGGGGGTTGGAACTACTAAGGGTCTGGCAACGAGCAGAGCAAGTTACAATACTGTTACGAGCAATATGTGAAAAATGGAGCATCTTAAAATAACGAATTTGATATGAAATTGTTACCCAATATACGGTTTCAATGAGTCTGGTAGGATAAGGAACCAAGAAAACTGTCTGGCAATATAGGAAACTCAGTTTGAGAGAACTCTCAAAAATATATATAAAGTTCAGCTTTATTAAAATGACGTAAGTCTATTTCTAAAATAGTATAGTTTAGAGGGGTCCGGCGGGGGGTTGGAACCACACTAAGTGTCTGGCAATGAGCAGCGCAAGTTATAATAATGCTACGAACAATATATGAAAATATGGAGTTTCTTAAAATAACGAATTTGATATGATTTTTTTTACACCTTTGTTACCTGGTACCTGCCAAAGGAACCACGATCCAGGTTTCATGTTTGGGGATCGTTCTTACCTGTGTTGGGGACACACATAGAAGAACTTTCACGTTTACTAAAATGACGTATGTCTGGCAGTCGTGGGCTCTTGGGCTATAAGTTACTCCTTATTATATCAGCTATCTGCCAAAAAAAGTCCCGTCAAAATCGGTCCAGCCTTTCAGAGATTAGCCGGAACAAACAGACAGACAGACAGACAAAATTTGTAAAAAATGATATTTTGGTGTATGTACGGTATTTATATTCATATGCATGTAATAAAAAACGGTTATTTCAATATTACAAACAAACACTCCAATTTTATTTATATGTATAGATAGAGACGTGTGACGCCACATAGACAATTTTGTACAAAATCTGTCCTAATGCAATAAGATAATAAAGAAAGAAAAATGGATACTTACGTGAGTTGTTTATTGCATTGTACGCATCTAAAGCATTCCTTATGCCACACACGCCGCTCCGCCTTAATCCGTTCCATGGCATACACGGGACGTGCACACTTCTCGCATTGCGGGTTCGACTCCCCGTCCGCCGCTGCCTTCATCTTCTTGTATATCTTCTCGGAGCTTTTTGACTGTAAAATTTAATAGATATTAGTTAAACTGCATGTCTTCTACCCTTATCTATAAAAAAAATCCGTTCGATTCCCCGTCCAAATCAAGCGGGGATCGAAATTACGGCCGGAGCCGAGGTTTGAATCCCTAGCGGTGCCCTTAGACTAAAGTTGTAACTATCAGGCGGAATGCCATCTGCACTCATCCCTATTGTGCGGTGAAGCTAGTAAAGGCCAGCTGCGACCAACAGCATTAAAGTAGTCCGAAAAATATACAATAACTAATTAAACTTAAAAAAATTGTATATAGGATAAGGCAACAGGTATCAACGTTTCACATTGCACAGATTTTCTTAAACAAGTTTGTTTTTTAAATACTCGAAACTGAGAAATTCGATATTCACCAAAAGAGAGCATATCTTTAGCTTAATCGTATGAAGAAACCAAGACAATATAAAAAGTGGGAAATCGTGGAATTATAATGAATTTTTAGAATAAAGTAAAAAACTATTATATTCACTGCAATAATAGAAGAAGCCAAGTAGAGCGGATCGTAAATATTTAAGGCAAAAAATACAGCGATCGAGTGTGATGAGAAAAATCTCTGATTAGATATAGAGCGAATATCTGAGAAATAGACGGATTTGAGAAAGGAGACCTAACTGAACGAGTTATTCCAGCATGTATCATTATCAATTCAATTCATTTAATCATTCAATTCAATCAAAAAAAAAAATTGCCCGTATAATACCGGAGTGGGTCTAGTAATCTTACTAACATTCTAAAAGCAAAAGTTTGTGAGCATGTATGGATAGGTGGATGGATGTTTGTTACTCTTTCACGCAAAAACTACTGTGCGTATTCTGATCAAACTTTGCAGTAACTAATACATCACAATAACACATAGGCTATACATTTCGCGCAGGTGAAACCTCGGGCACAGCTAGTATTATTTTAAAGAGGAAAACATTTGGTTTTGTCTAATAAATAATGAAATAAAAATTTATACATGTTAGTCTATAAAATATTTATAATATGGGTTAAATTTTGAAAAAATTAATTTAATTAATCTCCAATAAAAAATAATATATACGTCCATGTAGAACGTAGACATATTTAGAAAATAGATTTTTTTTAATTCCATATGTATATTTTTTGTGTAACCTCAGAAGTTCTAAAGTTCATTTAGATTTCAAACACAAAACACAAAAATATTCTAATTTAGAACCTCCTCCATTTTGAAGTCTATTGAAAATCTTTCATCTACAGATCATAGACTAGCATTCTACGTGAAGAGTACCGCGAAGTACAGCTAGTTAGTTACTCAGGTTACATTTATATCGGTACTGACCACAGATATGGTTCCTTCATCTTTATGCCTCCTGCTCTTGCTCTTCTTCTTTATGGACCGCTCCGTTACCTGCCTCTGCTCGGTAACCTGCCTCTGCTCTGTGACCTGCACCTCCTGGTAACTTCTCTGTACCCTGGACTCCGACTGGATGAGGGTCTGTGACGACTCCATCGTGGCAGAAGCAGTAGCCAACGCCATTGCCTTGTGTTCTGAAATAAAATTTATTCTTTTTAAAGTGGACAGTTTTTTTGGTATTCAGGTTTGTATTTTTTATGAAACAGGAAGGACCACCAATCTGACTGCTCAACTGATGGTAGGTGGAGTCAGAAATAGACAAGCGGCTGTATTGCATATATATTGCAATTAATAATGCAAGGTAAAATCCAGGTTTGACGAAGACCCGGCAGACGCACGTCATGGCTAAAGAACTTAAGATGGCGTTTGGGATTAGCATCAGATCCTTGTTCCGTACAGCGGTGGACAAAGTTAAGACGCCAACCGGTAGGAGACGGCACATAAAGAAGAACCCTTCTAATACCTAAAACCACCCATGAAAAAACCCTACAATTGGGGTACATACAACTAAAAACGAATAGACGTAAGTATATATTTAGGAAAAAGTGTCCACTTTATTTCTTTGCCAGGCTAATTATACAATTAAATAGATAAACAATAACATGAATAATGGCTGCCCGTAAAAACGTAGAAAGCATTCAGCAAAATCTATTTTGTTTTGCCAACCGTGTAACATTGCGTGTGAAATTATGCCACACTGTAGGAAAGTAAAATATATGTAGTTCGTAAACATACAAGTTTAAATATAGAATGGTAGTAATATAGAATAGTAGGGGGGGCAGGGGATTGTTGTAATCTGGACTGATGACCCCGTTGCCAGCAATACACTATGTCAGGTTGATTTCCACGCGGTTTCCCCTTGGAAAAAGTCCTGGCATATTTTAGCGTCAACAGTAAGCGCTTGCCATAGTTCGCTGTTAAACCAGACTTCAGTGGGAGGAAGGATTGTTAGTAATATGGACAAATGAAGAACAATTGTTCCACGTCAGTTGGCTCCACCCACGCGGTTCTCCCTGCAAACCATCGCAATAAATTCCTGGTGAATTTGTCACAATGGTCAACTGACCCTACCTCATGCTCATCCTATCATCCTTTACTGGTGCCCCGCAATCGTATAACGTTAGCGCAGGCGGACACAACATTCCATTATCATACATTAAATATAAAATGTAAAATATTACTGAGGTTCATGGTGAAATAAAATAAATCGAATCAAGGACAAATTTTATAAAAAGCGATTTTCCGCCATAATTTAAATTTCGAATTAATTACCGATCTTTTTTAATGTCCATTTCAAAAAGTCAATTTTCGAATTCTTTACGGGTCGGTAAAGAATTGGAAAATTGAATTATGGCGGAGAATGGCTAGACAGAACAAAACAAGCTTAAATCTAACGATATTATTATGTGAACGTAGACAACTTTAAGAATCAAAGTCAAAATACAATTATTTTGACTGATTATTTTTGAATACAACTATTTTCCTATGAAAGATAGTCATGTAATTTTTACAACAACTAATAAAACTTGTAGCGCATTACGAACTGCGGGGAAAAAACATAATTTATACGTGTTCATAGACAAGTTGGCAGGAAAAATTAAAATTCCAATTTGAATTACAAATTTTGCGCGGTAAAATTTGTCGATGGTGACAATAAAACATAGACTAAATTTTTACATTTTGCTTCATGAAGTTCGAAGAAATCTCTAGTGATATATTGTGAGTTACGAGCAGACTTTGATGTTGTATATTAAAATTAAAAAAAAAAAACAAGAACATATCAATCGTGTCAATTCATTCTTCATCATTTTCAAATAAATATTCATAAAATCTGGTAACCAATTTAGGTTACCAGATAGTCCAAAGTAGACTCTGTAAGTAAGTTATCACTATGTTTTTACAAAGACCCGTTGATATAAAAAAAATCGCACTACCGGCCTATAGGAATATGTATAACAAAGTACGTATAGTTACCATGTAGAAAAGGCAGTGTTGCAAGCATTTTCAAATTTATTACAATATATTTTTCAAAATTACTAAGATGTATATCTCTCCAATTTCTTTTACAGAATGATTTTATAAACATCGCGTTCAATGTTTTATAGGGCAATCTAGACAATATTGAATCACTAAAGATCTTACTCGCAAGTCTGCAATTTTGGGATAATGACTGATATTTAAGATTTATCATTTTCACAAATACATATGACGAAATAAAGGTAGGCGTCCACTGACATATTGTGACGTAAGTGTATATTTATTTGGAACGGAGTAGAGGTGATTATGATGTAGTACTTGCCCTTGGGCGACCACGTGGAGATCAGTGGCATAGACCAGCCGTCTGGAGATTCTCATGAAAAAAAACATTTAGAAGACAAAGGAATAGTTTATAAATAATTATAACGGCATGTACAGGCGTGGGATAATGACTTATACTTGTGTTCGACCAAATAAAACGCAGGAATTATAATATTATCATTATCGCCTTGCTTTTATTCTATTATTTGTGGTCGGTGAAGTCTGTCCTCTTCTTCCTCACTCACCTCTCGCTTACTCACCTCTTCTACATATCTTTCACACAATCCATCCATCTTATGTATTCAACGCTCATATTAAACATATCTTACACCATGATCCTCGCTCCTATATCTTTCACACAATCTTTTTTATGGACGTCCTCTCCCTTTCCTTCCATTCACGTTCATATTAAACACTTTCTGGTTCTCACTCTTGTTCATAACATGCCCATAAGAAAATTTGATTGCAGAAATTAATAAATATAAATAAAAAATAAAATTTGTTATATGAATACCATTAATTTCATATGAATACCAATGTAATAATAATAATAATCTCAGGACAATACACACAGAGCCATCTAGACCCAAGTTAAGCTAGCTAGAGCTTGTGTTATGGGTACTAGATAACTGATACATATACATAGATATTTTTTTTTATAAATACATATAAAACACCCAGACCGATACAAACAATCATACTCATGAATACAAATGTTTGTGCCGTGCGAGGAATCGAACCCGCGACCATCGGTCGTAAAGCGGTGTGCTTAACCGCTAACCACCGAGGTCGTCAAATGTAAGACTATATTTTTTAAAGAACGAAAATTTTGTTTTCAAACAAATATTATCAAAGATGCAATCGCTGGTGGTGTGGAAAGTCTGTCGAGATGGTGTGTCCCTGTAATTCCCAACATGACATGGTACATTTTAGCCAGCCATGTTGCCAAGTTCAGTCAGCATTTTTTTTGTAAGCGTCGCTGTCTGTCTGTCCCTATTTAGATCTTTAAACGAGAAGCACGTGTATTCAAATAAAAAGAGAATCATAAAAATCAGTTCACGTTGAAAACAGTCCTGAAGTAACACATAAATATACAGTCGAATTCACAATACCATAATTATTTGGAAGTTCGTTGATAATATATAAACTAATATTGGAACTGGATAATAATTCAATAAACAAACATATTCTATATACATATTGTGTATGTATTTACAAGAAAAAAAAAGTCATTATTTATAAATTCATCACTCCGGTTCATAAATTAATCAACATTAACATCCAGAGACGAGAACGAGGCGCCATGCATCCAATTCAATTCCGCATACCATTCAAATAAAGCTAGAATACATCAAATCCGTTCACGTTGAAAACAATTGCAGACTAAATATGTATTCATCTATGCATCGTTGATAATATATAATATGCAAGATAATAATTCAAATAAACAAACATATGCTATATACCATTGTGTATGCGTTAAAGAAAAAAAAAAGTCATTATTGATATTCATCAGTTCATAAATTAAAACATTAACATCCAGAGACGGGAACGTGCGGATATCCAATTCAATTCCGCGTGACCAAGAAACAAAATCATTCCGTGTGGACAATTCAGTATGTAATATTATCTCATATGCATGTAAATTCAAATAAAGAATGCAATGTAGCCATTCTATAGATTAATTGATATTAAGTAATTAAACGAGTAGTTCGAACACTGCGTGCGGATATAAGAAGCTTGCGTGAAAGAAAGAAAATATTACGTGTAATGTTTCATGTATGTAATATTTCTATTATGTAAACAAGTGAAGAACTTCTTAGCATTCTATAGATTCACCGTACGGGTGATGAGTCCATCGTGTAGCAGACAAACTTCGAGCAATTACTGGGACTTATGACCCGGGTGTAGGTTTAAGGGTTCCCTTGGTGAACATCAACAGTCAATAGCATTCTATAGATTCACCGTACGGGTAATGGATCCATCGTGTAGCAGAGAAACTTCGAGCAATTTCCGGGACTTTTGACCCGGGCGTAGGTTTAAGGCCCCCTTGCTGAATCTTCACCGTTCGTGTTACTCCCTACCCAGCCAAATCTGGTAACAGCCTGCTAGTGCAGCTTTAGGTATACATTCTGGTATTGAATTCACTGCAGTTCTAGACAGGTCAAGATTTTTTGGAAAATTATAGAGGTTTACGTAGACATTATGCATTTGACTGACTGAATTACGGCATCGGTGGTCTAGGTCTACGGTCGCGGGTTTGAATCCTTGAACGGTACCAACATTTGTAATCATGATTATGATTGTTTCTATCGATCTGAATGTTTTCAATGTACAATATATTATGTACATATCTACAAGAAAAGATGAGATAAGACAGGTAACTAAACGACTTATTACAAAGTCTACCACAGTTCCCCTCTGATCGATCCCCCGTCCTGGGGGGGATGGGCGTCAAATGGGAATGAAACGAACTTCTAGCGCTGCCTTCAGACTTAAGTCGTATCTGTCCGGCAGGAGTTGGCCTTCATAAGTTCTTCCTTTGGTTTGGAATGTCATATGCACTCGCATATCGTCTGGAGAATCTGTAAAGGCCAGCTGCGGCAGACAGCATTAGAGTAAACCGAAAAAATAAACTTTAATTGGATTCTTGATGTCTCCTCAGTCGATGACCATCATGATTTAGTTAATGTGGGGGTGTAACTGTTATATTTTACGCACTGACACATTGGATTTGGCTCGTATCATGAGATAAATATAGTCCACATCCACTCGTATTCAGACGGTAACGAGGTAACGAGATTGTATGCGATCTACTAACAAAATCTATCTATTATTTAAATGGTTGAATTTATTAAATTGTACAGATATATTTGTGAATAAAGATATTATTATTAACTTCTAAATAAATCGGTATGTCTACTAAATTAAATGTACCTATAGATTGAGGATTTAGTTATGTAATCGGCCCATCTGATGGTGATAAGTAATCATCGCCAAAACATAGTATGCTCCCTGACATTACCAGGTGATACTCGTAGTATCTACCACTCCTGCTTTGTCATTCGGACTGCCAAACTAATTTAAGACTGGATTACAGTGTAATTTTACTGCCATATCTCACCGAAGCTGCTTAGCGGCTGACTAATATGTTAGATAGAGTTACCTAAGCAGACGACTTTGTATAAATTCCACCTCAGTGCTAAATTATTTACGTCTCGATGACGTAATTTAGTACACCGCTTTACTTCCGATGATCGCGGGTTTGATTCCTCGCACGGTACAAATTTTTGTATTCATGAGTATGATTGTTTGTACAGGTCTAGGTGTTTTGTACGTAAATTATGTATGTATTTATAAAAAATCTATGTAATTGTAACCGTTGTCTAGTACCCATAACACAAGCTCTACTAAGCTTGGGACTACACGGCGCGTGTGAATTGTCCAGGGTTATTATTATTATTTTCCACGACCTCTATATTTAAAATCTGTTAAAAATAACACAGTAAATTATCCGCTATACGTTTTATTTCCTTCTGAACTGTTTAATGAAAGAAAAATAAGTGTCATGTTACGTGCAACATTGCTTAATTAGGGCGTGCTATATTTAGAAGTCCAAAAGTTCGTGATCTGTGTTGCTATGTTTGCTATCCTTCTCCCGAGAAGTCAGGTAATTTAAACCACTGAATTATCTCTTTCATAACTTTTATGGTTTTTTGAACAAAAATTATTATCCCTTGCTGATGTAAAAGCGGCTTTGTTCTTGAGGTTATAATGTCGAGTGTTGCGTGTTATGTTTAATTGGACATTTACTGTTGTATTCTTTGTTGTCTTTATGAAGAAGAATGAGGTAATCTATAAAGTTATGAACCTTTTCTTTGAAACAGTGATTCATCAGTAAATATGAGAATATGCATGTTATATTAGACCTGAGATAAAAATATAAAAGTTAAGTACTATATTATAATTATAAAAATAAATATTGAGAAATGTCTTATACTTTTTCACGGCTAAACGGCTGACCAAATTTTAATGAAATTTTTATATACACGATAAGATATAAATTGTACCACGATGACATACATAGGTTATTTTTATCCCAAAAAGGATGATAGATTGTGCATACAAAGTAACTCAGGGATATGTATGACGCAAGCACCTTAATTTGTATGGAGAGTATAGTTATACGGTCATTAAACACTTGCACTGATGTTATTGATGCTATTTATTGATAGCAATCTTCGAACACTAAATCTGCGCTGTTTACGTCCATCCACACTTTTTCAACGTAATCTAATGTAATGTATATACATGTAAATATTGTGTATGAGTGTAATTATTTAACATTAGCAACCCATCCTGGCTCCGCACGTCGGTCGATCAGTAAGGATCTTCTTTCATTAATACTAAGATGTCTCTTAAAGTGTTCGTTGAAATAAAATATGATAGACAATTTTGTTCAAAATTCATTATATTAAATAACGTATTTGTGTATTTGTGCATTGAAGTTTTAGTAAATAATTTTTTTTTTATAATAATAAGATTACTGATATATAATATCATAATATAATATACTATATCAAAAACCTTAAAAAATATAAATTAAAATAAAATATAATATAGTAACTAAAATATCTTTAGGTTCCGAAGATACTGGCAGCGCCCCCCCTTTGAATGACTAGGCTAATAAAATACTATATAATAAATATATTTATATACCTAATACATTCATAATATAGTACTTTATTACCCATATTTATACAACCAATTATTACCTAAATAAATAAAATAAAAACAAAATATAAATACAATTTTTTTTGTAAATATATACATAATATACATAGAAAAACCCAGACTGAAACAAACAACCTTACTCATGTATACAAATGTTTGCACTATGTGAACCGAACCGGAATTGAACGTGCGACCATCGAAAGTAAGGCGATGTGCTAAACCGATTGACCAAAGGCCATCAATATATAGCTGATGATAGTTACTTCGATTTCTATTTTTTTTTTTAAGAAACGGTGAATATTTTCTTAAACGATGAGACGGGCCCTCCTAAGCCCCGCTTGCGCTAATGATTTACGCTGGCGGGGCACCGGTGGACAACAATATGAATATGAGCATGAAGTCAGGTAAGTGCCCATCGTGACACATTCACCAGGAATTGATTACGATGGTTTCCAGAGGAACCGCGTGGAGGTCAGCCTATCATGGTGCACTGCTATAAATGGAATTATTAGTCCACATTACTTCTATTTTCCATCAAAAAATGGTGTTACTCCCGCTC